GGTCGGAACGAAATGTTGACGGAATCGTGCAGGGAAGGCGGTCGTGGAAACTGGATAGCTTCCTACCTCCAAGTACACCGTAGTGGTGAGAACAAGAAGCTTGAAGAGGATAGGGAGGGATGACGAGTTGGGCGAGTTGGACAAGAGAGGCGACGGTGAGGACAAAGAGGAGGGAACGAGAAAGAGAGCCGAGAATAGAAGAATGATGAAGATGGAGGCGGATATAGGTAGATGTAGAAATCAGGATAGAGGCAGAGAGGTAGGCATGTGTGACGAAGGGAAGAGGGACGAAGGGACGGCGGGCAAGAGAATGGAGAGAACGAGAGAAGAGAGGTAGATGTGCACGTAACGTGACGGACGTCGCCTGAAAGCTCGTCCGAGAGAGCGTCATGACGGCGTCGTCGTCGTTGGGGTTGATTGTCGCAGATCTTATTATCCCCCCCCTTGTTCTAAGGAAGCTACGGCCGCAAGTTCGTACGTGTGTACGCGCCCGTACACGCGCTCGCGCACGTGTACACGTGTGTATGTGTTGCGCGAGCAAAGGGTAGGTCGCTGGAGGCGGGTGGGTATCCCCCTTCGGCCTCCCCCCACTGGCCCCTCGCCGCCCCCCTCAGCCCCAGGCTAACCTTGTTAGCGCTAATGACGGACTCTGCCGCGAGATGCGCGCGAGCCAAGGCAGGGACGTACATCTCGCGATCCTTGTGGGGAGTTCTAAGTTAAAGATGGCGGTGCTTGACCCCCTCGAGATATCTCACGATACCATTGCGCTGAAATTACATTTTCTTCTAAATCACAGTGAGAAATAATCGAAAACGTTCCCAAAAATTTTTTTCTAGAAATGGATCGAAATTTTTTAAACTTCCCGGTATAAATTGAATTAGATCTATAAACGTGTACAAGTTTAGAAATAGAATACTAATATAAATTATGTTGGAAAATTCGTTTTATTCCAGATTATGTTATACTAGTTTTTCTACATGCAGTTATAAAAGAAAGAAATTAAATTCTATGTTACAATAGAATAACTATGATATATAAAATCTGCGTTTATTTTATCTTTAATGGAAATGCCGAGCTACCGCTGTTGATGACGCGATAAATTCACGTAAATGCTGTTACTAAACACGTTTCGTTACCAGCATTCCCAGATCATTGGTAGCATCAAAATTTTCATACATTTTTAGACAGGGCCTACATTTGAAAATGCTAGAAGATGTCTAGTTTGAGAGAAAACAGAGAGAGGGGGGGGGGACATGAGGGACTCTCGAAGCAACCCTCGACGGCCCCCAAAATCCATTAGACCGGAAAACGAGGTAGAATCGTAGAACGCAATGGCGTCTAGAAACAAACGACGGCCGATAGGAGTGAACAAGCAGTGAATCACCCAAGCACTTGTTTACCAAGAGAATCAGGGATTCAGGGATGCCGTTCTCCGACTCTTGGAATCCAGCCCCATCGCGCTCGCGTCCCCCGTCCTCGGTCCCTCCGCCACTCATCCATCGGCCCACCGTTCCCCACACCATCAACCTTGCCATCAGCTCACCACCGTCGTATGGGATCTCCCGAAGGCGGATGGAGTAGCTCTTCGCATACGTAGACACGCGCCGTATCTCGGAGCGTGTGAAAGAGAGACGGAGGTGGCGACGGAGCGAGGCGGGCCACGAGAATGACAGAGAAGAAGGGAAGGTGGGAGGGAAAGTTACGTAGACACAGAAGCGGCACTAGAATCGCTAAATGTAATTCGGTTAAAAGGGTTTTAGCAATACAATGCATATAAACATGAGCGCCCCACCCTCGTCGTCGCCACGTCCTTCCGAACTGCCTCCCTTTCGCCTGTGCACGTTGTCTTCGAAATCCTCTCCCGCGACGACTCTCGACTTCCTCCTCGACGAGGACGGGCTTCCGTTACGAGATACGAGCGAAATCAGCTAACCGAGGTTTAACGTCCGCCAAATGAACGCCGGTGAGAGCCTCGCTACGAGAGATGTCTGCCGATATGATTTCAAGATTTAATCTATTTCTCAGAAGCTGCGCGCGCGCGCAAGCGTAAAACAATCTCTTGCAAATACTTTAATTTAAAAAAAGGATAAGATATCTCTTAATCGTGAGATACGCAAGAGAAATCTCACGTAATCTTTTCATGTTTTTCAAATCGGATGAAATTCTTTCAAATTTACTCGAGTTCATTCAAATTGTACACAAGTATACATTTTTACTGCAAATTTAGCGATGCCAAAACCAACAATATTTTTAAAATATTTGGAGCATTTTTACATTTGAGCAGTTAAAACTCGAGATATTCTCGATTAAACGTGAGTATCCTGCAACTCCTGTGTGCAAGTTACAGGAGAATAAGAGATCAGTTTCTCGTGAGTTGAAGATAAATAATTTGCTGCATCCAGTACAGTAGTTTCGACTTGGTAGGATATCGCACATAAAAGTACCATGACACATTATCCCGCGGATTGAGATCGAACTGTATCCGAAATATTGGATGCACGCGTGACCACGCATAAAGTCCGTAGGAGCAAAAGGTGGCAAAAGTGCAGAATCACTCCAGCGTCCCCTTAAGCCTGTATCAGACTACGGATTAGATTGAAATTTGACCAATTGAAGTAAAAGTTACTTTTCGCACCTTTTGCTCCTAGAACTGTGTGTCAATTTGTGAAAACATTTGTGTAATATAAAAATTATGTGGCTTTTGTGTACAGACCGATAGTGTCCCACTATTCAGATTAGGTCAAAGAACAGCATGGTATCGTTGAAATTAAGTTTAGGAGCTTAACAAGAAGTCTGTTCACTCGATTAAAGCCAACGGCATACGATACTATTTTTCTTACTGGATTACTCACGTGAGATAATCAGGATTTAGCTTTAAGTCGCCTGATCTAAAACTCTACACCCTTATTGGTTCACGTAAGCAATCCAGCAAGAAAAATTGTATCGTGTGCCGTTGGCTTAAGTTATAGGTTACCTAATCTATGGCTTATTCGAGTAAATAGATTTTTGTTAGGCTTCTAAACTTAATTTCAATGATACCATGCTGTTCTCTGATTTAGTGCGAATAGTGAAACACTGTCGATTCGTAGACAAAAGCCCCATAATTTGTATATTACACAAATTTTCACGAATTGACAGTTCTAGGAGCAAAAGGTGCCAAACGTGCAGAATCACTCCAGCATCCCCTTAATGCGTTTGTCGCAAAATCTCCGCTCGCGCGAACGATCGCGGGACACGCGCGAATAAATCCCCGCGCGCCGGAAGGAGGGAGCGCGCGGAGAACGCGAAACGAGATTGGCCGTTATGCTAATTCTCCCAGCGTCGCGTTAACGCGCCTTTTCGTGCTTCCTCGGGTCGGCGGCATATTCCTCGGAAAAAACTTTACGGCCATTTCCTTTTTCCGCCACGCCGCGCCATGGCGTAAACGGAGGACGTGGCGCCATGCCAGAACGTTCGCGAGATCGTCCTGCCCGCCTCCGTCCGGGCAATCCCGGATTTTTCCTTGCAAATAATCACGCCCGGCAGGACTCGCTCGAGCTGCTCCCGCGACGGATTTCTCACGAGTGAAAGATGAAGACGAAAAATTGAAATATATAGCACGTGACAAACGGGGATGGGGAAGTACTTGGCAATCGAAATCGGTAATAGGAACGAGGAATCGACTGACGAGCGCGACAGCAAAATTACGAGGAAAATGTACATATAAGCGAGAAAAGTCGAACACAGAAGAGCACTCAGCGGTGCAATCTCGATAATGTTTGATGATCAAATTTAGCTCCAATGATTTCTCCAATTTGCGAGTAGAAAATGCTGTAAGAATCACCTAAAGGATCTCAATGAAAACAGACATCTTTCTTCTAGGAAATTAATTTTTCTGTTGTTCGATAAAAAAACTTGTATACGCACACGTGTCATTCGTACTTAGATTTCTCTTTTTTTCCTTTTATATTTCTTTTTCACCGAATCTCTCGATCAATACATTCGACGTCTTCGATTTTTCCGCGATGGCTTTCGTGCTCGGAAAAAAGGCAGCGCGGGGGGGATGCAGCAAGTAGTGACATTGATCCGCATTCGTCAAATACGACTTTACCTCCTTCTTGCGCCGTTTCGCCGAGTGATGACGTTTTCCGAATGAGCGGCTCTCCGCCGCGGAATGTCGCGGAATTCGTAACTGGGGATTAGCATGTCATAAATACTGATAGCGCGGCGCGGGCGCTACTCCTTCGGGTGCCTTTCGAAACACGCCATTCGGTTCTCCATCGAGTACCCGCCAGTCAGGCCCGTCCGGGGGTGGTTACCCGCCGGGGGATGAAGCTTCTCATTTACAAGCCATATACCAATCAGCGGCCATCATGCAAATAACATGAGACCCGGGCTCCCTCGCACACGCGGCTGAATACGAGCGGATCTGAGCATTTATTGTTCGAAATGCAAAGTAAAATCTGATATTGCGGTCGTGACGCGGATTTTTCGATCGATCTGGCGGTTTAGTTGATTTTTATTGCGAGAATAAGAGAAAATTTATTTTACACTTTGAAACAAACCGTTTTGAAATAATTTTTTAGTAAACGTATATCAAATAAAGATTTCATGAGGTACAGAATACTATTCATTAAATGGAATAATTGTTTTTGTTAAATAGGAAATCCAATTTTCTTCGCTGTGAAAATTACATCTTAGTAAACACTTTACAGAATTAAAATAAAATTTTTTAAATTTAAAATGGTCTATTCTTTGATATTTAATAAATACTTAAATTAAAGCAATGCATGTTTTAATTTGTTTATTATTTTTTAAATTTAAGTTAATAAGTTATTAGGAGCCACCTAACGAATAATTTTCTTGAGTAAAGTAATATTTTTTTGGATTAAGATATTTTTTTTATCAGTGTACTTAAATTTACCATAGCGTTAAAAAGATAAACGCCTACCAGGAGAAAATAATATTCATGGGGAAAGAAGGACGCAGAGCGATTTTTCTCGATTTCATAATTTATTTAGGAACTTCTCGCGATATTACCATACCGTGTATCTGCATCGCATTCACTAACTTAGAACCTATGCGGATAATATTTACACTCACATCGTATGCCATAAATACATGCTTCTCGCCCGCACGCGCACTCGTATGGGACAGTACTCGAGTAACGTCTGTACCCCTGGACAGGAGAACGATCCTACCATCCTGTTTTCTCTTTACACCGTTTTATATTAACAACGTCGCGATTCCAGCGTCTGCCTGGCGTCTCTTCTATCTTACAAGCCGAGCGAACACAGAATAAATAGTATCTAGTCATGTCTATATACACGATGAATTTATATTAAATGGTATCCGTATCGAGGCTTCGTAGACCCGAAAGTAGATCTTTGCTGTCACGTGCGTATCGTTAAATCGCACGATCGCGGCGCGTAGATCTTCCAGTTGCTCTAAACGCGATTATTGTCCGCCTTCTCTCCGGCAGGCAATAAAAAGATATAATTCGATTATAAAACCAATATCCCGCAGGTTTGAGCAAGACGCTTCTCTAGAATCAGCAGTGACGCTCGTGTATCTAATAACCGTGTGATTAACAAGCGAGGTATCGTTAATGATCGCGCTCGTGAACATCGTCTCGTTCGCACTTATTTACATCAGAATTTGTGATATAGTAAATTATAGAGGTGAGATATATACACACGAGAGATCGATCTGTTTCTGGTTTTTTTTTGGTAGAAAACCGCGTTCAATAATAAGCAGAGATCGAAATTCATCGAAACCGATGTAATTTTAATGATTTTGATGCACACGAAAATAATTTTCGTGTTCGTTCGCGACGATAGATGGACGCAAGCCGCACTTTACCGACGAAAAATCAAAATCGTGCCGGTTTCAATGTCTGGTAGTAAGCGGGATACTTTCGCTTTTTACTATAAAAGTATCTACACAGGAACAATCACGCAGTCGAATTAACAAGCAGAACTTAGTTCTATTAATCGAATCTTTAGATTCGCACTCTTGGCTCCGAAACAATCGTTTCTCTAAATTAACAACTTAATTTTCCAAGAAACAATCAGCCTGGTGGTAATTCACATCTTCTTGACCGCTGGGGGACCAACAATTTGTTTTACTCTTAACATGTCAAGAGAAATATATCTTTTTCTCACATTCTGTTTGCCTCTTAATTAAATTAATAACATTTAAATAAGATATACCGTAATCTATTTCGCAATAATTGTGTATAAAATAAAACGAGCGGCAGAAATGTCTGCGAAGAAGCTCGCGCGAATAAAACATTGTTGGCTCTTTCTTCGCGCACTTTCGATAAAAAAATGTTGGTCCCCCAAGAGTGAAATGCCTTCGTCTCTTAGACCACGTAAGGCCGGTACAAAGGCTCCTGGAGGTCCGTTCCAGTTCTCTGACTTTCCTGGAGCGTTCCTCTGGATTCCTCCGGTGTTTCAGGCGCATTCACGCTGACGTCACTTCCAGTGTCCCTATCGGCACTTCTCGCGCTACCGGCCTCCTCGACCTTTCCGCTCGTACGAGCCTCCTGCTGCGCCTTCTTGCTGCGCTTCCACTTCATTCGGCGATTTTGAAACCAGATCTTCACCTGCAATGTGAGTGCGGTGTTTTTAATTATTCGTGCGGCGCGTCGACACCGCGTAAATTTGTCGAGATCTCACGACGCGAAGGGAGATAAAAAAAAATCACGTAGCGATAAGCGATTTCGGGGAACTAACAACTATCGCGCGCGATATTTGATAAAATATTTCGGCACTTATCTCGCAATTAATTTTAGACAATTACGAAATATTATTCGCGAAAAAAGAACTGGCAATATCCGTTCGAATTTACATTACAAGTGCGATGCGATAAAATACGTTTATCATTGTTTAAGACGCCAGGCCAGAAAAGTTAAAATTGATCGAGTTTATTTCTTTTAATCGCGAGTAATAAAGCATGAAAAGATAGAAACGATTCTTATAGGAAAGTCCCCTGTTATGAGACAGGCTGCTAATATGAGATAGCGGAGTTGCCGCTAAATTAATAGGCACCATCTGTTGGCCCCTTTATGAATTTATTGCTCTTGAAGTGAAATCTGTTTAGTGGAAAATTCATTGTTAAGTCGTGTTAATCGTTGCGAAAAAAGACTTGTGATTGAATTTGGACATAGACATAGTAAATCTAGACTGAGCGTTCTAGTGAATAAGCTGAAGCTTATGAAGAGAGAGAGAGAGAGAGAGAGAGAGAAGACTTAAGAAGACTTTCTTTCTCTGCCTTACACCATCGTAAAAGAAAAGAATCGCACCTGCGCAGTACTACACAGGCGTGATTCTCCCTTGTCACGATGGCGAGACAGAGAAAGAAAGTCTTCTTAAATCTTCTCTGTCTCTCTCTTGACAAGCTTCAGCTTATTATATAATGGGACGCTCAGTCTATATTTACTATGCCTATGAATTTGGACGATGAAAACCTGCTATCTCATATTACAATCCTATTTCATAATAAATGCCTTTCCTTTATTAAACGCAATGCATATTTTCATCGAGCTATTCCGTCACAAGCAGTAATTTTTTGTATCTTGAAATCAAAGTATCGCCCATCCTACATTAATTTCCAAATTACAAAGTGAATAATGGTTCTTCGAATGTTTCAGACTTTCCGAACGCCCCAGACAGCGAGCGATTAAAACTCGTGAATACGTTCGCGAATTGAAAGATTTTTTTCCAATATGATTTCGTGCCGATAGCAGACGCTAATTATAAGGATTGACGAGTCGTCGGTGCGACTGTTTTCGATCCGCGCCCGATTTAATCTGGCGAATGCGTTACTCTATAAGCGCGGGCAACGCCACGTGAGCCACCCCGCGAGACGCCGTAAATCAGGTAGACAGATACAGGGACTCGATTTTTCCTCCCCAATCGTAAGAAAACGATGTAAATCTTTCGGACAACATATCATGCGCCCGGGCCAATCCCCTCCAGACACGCCAACCGTATTATATCTTTACCCTCCGTGTAGGAGCGCGGCTTTCTCGTACGAATACGAATGGAAGAATCTGTGAACGTTTCGCCGAATTCTCGCTACCCGGAGAATCTTGCGTGACAAGATTATAATTGTTGGATCTTAATCGCGCCACAGTAAAGTACACATCGACGATGGACCGCTGAGGGCATTGTGGTGTACAGATTCGCAGCATTACTGAGTATTACTAGGCATTTTTCGGGCATTAATTTGGGCCTTGCTGGGGCATTATAAAGATAAAATAAGATGATAAGATAAAGTAATGCCCACTGGGTGTTAGGCATTGGTGTACATGATTTTGGTCAGCGAGTTACCCCACGTAATAAAATCTGTTTGTGCTAAAACTTTAGATTCGTGAACAGGGAAGAAATTCATTTAACATTATATAATTTGAAGATTAAAAGTGCTTGCGATGAAAATATTTGTTTCTCTCGGAAGTGCAGGGATTTGCACTACGATAGACAGCGGGCGCCGCTGCTTTCCGATCAGCTGGATGATTTGATAGACGAAACGCTACGACAGGGACTTGCGTAAATCATTCGCGTCGCGTTAACAAATAATTCGGAGCGCGAGGTAAATAAGCGCGGGGATTGAATTCGAAGGAAGGGAGGAGGAAAGGCACGGACGTGAAGGTGCGAATTGTGTGGGTGCGAGCGAGTCGGTCGACAAAAAAAATGGATCGGGGGGTGGGGGAAAGCGACACGAAAATAAATATTTGTTATATCGCCGATAAACCGACGAGCGATAAAGAGCGAGCGAGCGAGCGAGAGAGGCAGAACAAATAAATTGCGCTGTAAATTATCTCGCGAGCCGAAATTAATCGACATCTTGTACATGGTAAACCGAGCGACGGTGAATCATGGGAACGCCGGAAGTGCTCTATCTACGATACGATCTCAATTGCGATCGCGCTAATTGCCAAAGATATTTTCCTTACTAATGATCATCGATGCGTAGATATTGCACGCTGTTACGATCGCAATTTTGTGACAAGTTAACCGCGAATACCGAACGTTAAACTAATCAATTCGGCGAGCTTAATTAATTCAGCCAGCAGAAAGTCGTTGTCGCAAGTTAAGTGTTGACTCGATTTGGTAAGAATCCAAAGGGAAACAATCGTGCGGAAAACACAAAAGAATACATAGCTCACTGAAAAATAAAACTCGTCTCGCAAGAAATTACCGAACTGATACATTTCCAGTTTTGTAAAATGTTAACGGTAATTTTGACAATGTGTCCACGTTTCTAAAGGATCACTTGACTTGATAATGACAAAAATTGCAATGTAGGGAGATTCATTGGGAGCTGCACGGGTCTCGTCCTCTTTAAATAAACGCGTTTCTCGTCGGGCGTCGCGACGAAACGCGTCGCGACGCTCGCGCTTGGACGGTAAATCGCCGGTAATCGCGTTTCTGCAAGCGCGGAACTCAGACGTGAAATGGGTAACGGGCCCCGGGAAAGGAGGAGGACGAGGAAGGGCCGAGGTGGAGGCGAGGAGCGAGGCGGAATCGGTAAAATATCGAAACAAATCAGCGACTGAGCCCGCCATAACTCAGACTTTCACGTCTGTTTGCCGAGCGATCCGTCAGGGCTCGTAAGCTTCGGAGTTATGTTTAAGTTGTTGAACTATGCGAGAGAGGATTCGCGTGCACACGTCGGGCGCCGGATGGAGGAAGGGCGGTCCCGGATTATTCCACGGGATTTTCTCTCTTTCGAGGGTCTTCTTTTTCTCCTCCCGTGCTCGCGCTCCCGTGACCTCTCGCGAATTTCCATTTTCGCGCTATTTACCGGTTGACGTCGCTCAACTCCTCACGGGGCGACTCCCGACTCTGACTTCGCGCCAACTCGATTCTAACTTCTGCCCTCCTCCCCTCCCCCAAACTCTGGCAAATTATCGATTCGATTTCTTAACGATTTTCGCGAGTGATTCGTATCACTCGGATGTATAATTATGCAAAGATACCTCTCGATCTCCCGAGAGGGAAAATAGATTTCATGGAAAATGGTACTCTTTTTCTTAACTTCTCACGGCTTTACGTAGCAGTCACGATGTTAACCATTACAATGCTAAACGGGAAGAAAATTAAAAGGAAATTTACATTAGGTATTCGGTGCATGGGATTTCTGTACAATGTCGATAAAAGCCATTTTATTGCATGTGTTTTATCGCGTATCTCGCACTACTAGGTGATTCACGATTCGCATTACGTTTCTTCTTTCTGCTCAGACGTGAGTAATAAAAATGGCTAATCGCGATACTTATCGTACGAGAGGTGATTCACGGGCGTTATTGAATTGGGCCATTATTGAATTTGGGATATCGAGAAAGGTAATGCGCAATTCAACATCATTATCTCGATTTACCTGCGTTTCCGTGAGCATCAGCGACGTCGCGACCTCGAACCTCTTCGGTCTGCTGAGGTACTTGTTCTGTCGGAATTGCTTCTCCAATTCGAGGAGCTGCTGGGATGTAAAGGCGGTCCTAGGCCTTCTGGTTTTGCCCAGCAACGCATGTTGCGCCGCGCAACCTATTGCAAATAGATTATCTTTAAGGAATTTATAATCTGTAGTGGCACTATGATTATGTAATAATAATGCTATAACTTGTGTGGCAATATTTGCTAATAATCATGAATTTCTAAGTTCAATATTTAAGACATATATGAAATAAATCGTATAAAATTACGAACAATTATATTTTCGACGTTGCGCTGATTTTCGCATAACGAAAACTTTCAGTGAAAAACGCGGCTTTATTAAATTTGTTTGTATCCGATAAAAGTCGCAAATTAAACGCGATTTCAGTCGAGGCAAAACAGCTCGGAGAACAAAAATGATTCATTATTGCGACCCGGACGATCCAATAAAAATCATCGAATGCTAATGCAATTATCGTGAGTGTAAATCCCTATGGATTACGGGGGATGATTTGGGGTTAGACGATAGGGGTGGAAAGCCGCCCCTGCAATTAGCCCCGTGAATGACTCTTGGTCAGGGGAGAATTGTCGACTTATAACACCATAGGCGTAGGGCATCGTGGAGCCTGACGAAATGATCGACGTAATCATGACGGAATTGCGATCGATCAATGCGCGATGAAGACGCGCTTGCATTATACATTACACCACACGATATATACGCGTACGTGCCAACAATTTATTCATCGTCCAGAGCTTCTATACTTGATCATGGAATATTAATAATTATTAAGAATTATCAGAGCATTGTATATTAATAACTCAATGTGAAAGTTACTTTCCTTAATAATTGTTTTTTTAAATAATATGAATTGCGCTTAAGTCAAATTACCGCGATTATCTTCCTAATGCAAATTATTGCTGTATAAAATTTGAGAATAAGTCAGCTTTAATTTGAAAGAATAAATTCGAAAGCATCGTTGAATAAAATTTGAAGAGACACACTCGGGGCGAAATTAAAATATTATTAAAATGCAATTCTTGTAAAAATGTTTAGTCGGCAGCGTATCTTTTGGTTCAAGATTTCGAATTTCAGCGTGTACGTGAGAGAAGCTGTTATTTTTGTCGCGATGCCACGTGTTTTTGTTGTTGCCGGGCGCTATGTCCTCTGGGTCTCCACGATTAGCAGGGAGGTGGGCCTTGCGTCATTGGCTTAAGCACCCTCGTAACTTAACTAGCAAGTGCGTGACCGGCTGTCAGTGTTTGTACACATGGCGGCGTTTAGTCGAGCGCATTCGGATTACCGGTGGACGCGTGATTCACTAAGCTGCGTACGAGCAGGTACGCACGTTTTCGCTCTTCCTCAAAGAGAGACCCGCGTGTATTACGATATGGGGAATCGCGCGATTTCACACTAACATTACCGTTACACAAATCAGCAATTTCGATATCTCGATATGCCGTATCCGTCGGTCTTTTACACAGCGGGGTGTATTTTCGCGAGTTTAATACCCGCGACACGAGCATTGAGAATACAAGAAAAGAATTTAAAAATAAAAATATATAATATGCTTCGGAGAAACATATTAAATATATTTTATGTAAATGATATAATATATTAGAGAATAACTTTGTGCCGAGCAATTAAACATTTTTTTGTCTGCTCCGTTTGCTCTCTAAAAGTCAGTCAGTGGATTATTACTGAAAATAGTGAATATTCACTGGTTCACAGTTATAGTGCACTGATGAACTTTTAGAGAGTGGTTTAACAAAATTCGAATAAAATAGTTGGAGTGATTTTACTAAATTCCTATTGTTCATATTTATTCAAGTCTGATCTGTCATTTTGCATTTACGAAGTGTAAAAGCGCACGTGTTGTTTTTAATAATTGTTATGGACTAAAAAAATATGCGCGGGCCATTTTTGACGATTGTTCACGGGAGCAAGCGTTACGCGCGAGGGAGACGAGAGACTACATTTGATCGCTGTTAGTATTTAGACTGTAGCACATTTATTGGGTTATTTATCGTTGGACAAAGTGGAGTTCGGTTCCCCCCCCCCCTCTCCCCTGCTGGGCACATATGGCCTGACCGATGATTTCCCTTCCCGCTGATTCGTGACAATTATTATTTGCGCCATTGCGCTCCTCGCTCGTCCCGTCATGATTTATTTTTATGTCCTTTTTTTCAATTTCACCGCCCGGACGCACCGTGTACGCGGTGCCCATTAGATTCTCTTGACACGCTTGCATATCACGATATTATAAATTATTGAATTTTTTCACATATAACGGTTTATCGCACTTTGTTAATCTCCGAGATAAAGCAATTTCGTAGTTGCCTAACTTTATTACGATTGCCGTGCGATTGCATTAATTCCACGATCGATCTTAAATTTTAATCGACAATCACTTTTGGCCAACGTGATCAAAAGGTCGAGAGGACTGGATTGAGATAAGGTTTGGACATCTACTTCTCACAGTATTTTCCTGATTAATTTCAGACGATAATGATAATGTATCAGTAATAACGGTAATCGACGCGAATCTTATTGCGAGATTCGTGGATGTGGATGTGAAGCGATTGTGAAATAAATAAGTTATTACTAATTATCGTGCAACGAAAATGTCGAATGATCGTTTTATATATACGATTCCTCGTATTCTACGTTCGATCACTTCTTTTTGAGGTCTTATCATAGAAATTTTTAAGGAAGAGGATCGTATTATATTGCAAACGGCAAGGCTACACTCGCAGAAAAAATTTCCGTATCCAATGCTATAGTAAGTCAATCTTTTTAATTCGCTAGAGGAGAATAAGAATTATTGATTTTATTTTGATATTGTCTTATTTTTATACTAACAATAAGTGAGGTTGTGAGAAATATAAGTGCGTCAGGAATATTTTTGTCTCGGTAACAGAAATCCTTTCTGAGGGTGCAATTTCATCGGGATCGTAACATTTAATTTCGCTAAAGACGAAAACACAACGTGATCGAGTCCCGACGTCTAAGGGTCGCGTCCATTATTCTTTAAAAGTTTAAGAAGCGAGAAGAGGACGGTCGGACAAATAGCCGTCATAAATTACTGAACCCTTTGTCGTTGTTGCCAAATTGGCCGGCTCGCGATAATTATTCATCGAGCCACCGGCGTTACGAGCGCACCAAAGAAATACGTCTACCATCGAGGGGGTTGGCAACTGACATACGGTACATATCCTTTTATCAGAGGGGTGCTGCGTTAACTATAGCGTTAACTAACTGCAAACAATCCTGTTGTAGCCTAATATATAAATACACGCAAATGCGATGAACCGTGCGATCGCAGTCGAGAATAATCGAGAGGCAAAATGATGCAATAAATTATAATGATAGGAACCGACGTATTCGTTCAAATTTAGCCATAAAAATTGTAAGGAGTTAAAAGAATGTGTAAATTGTCGAAGAATGTTTAGCGTATAATATATGCTTTTTTACCACTATTTGCCCGCTAAATAAAAATTGGATTGGACGATTGCGCCACTTTAAATAGCATTAATTTGTATAAATAATTAAAATTCCCATAACTAATTTCTGCAATTCTTTACGATACGTACATTTGCGCTTCAACTGTCCTAATTTCATTGACACGCGGAGAATGCGCCGTGTCCCGCTAAATTGATCATTTGGCACATTGCACGTCGATCGGGATCGGGAAATGCGCAAACTGTGACAGATGTCGGTAAACATGAGAAGGGAGACTTTATCGAGTGGACAATCACCATTCGCGCTCTTATATCGAATGGGGGGCCGGGAGGGGGCTTTTATCATGATAATTTAATTTATTTGGGGTCCCATCGGCCGCTTCATGCCGGGCCACCCTTAAATGGTGCCGATCATCGCGGCGGTAAACACCACCTATTATCTGTACTTAAAGCGACCGCTCTCTCTCTCTCTCTTTCTCTTTTTTCACTTTCTCTTCGTCCTACCATCTCGTCCCCCTGTAGTTTATTCCCCGAAAAATTATACTTTACCGGTCGTATGAATATCCTTGGGTCGTAACGAGGGATGACGATGCGGTAGGCACTGCAGCGAATTTTGCTTTGCGTCGTTAAAAAATAGAAAGGTATAATTGAGACGAGCTGGTATCTTTGCTACTTTTCTATAATTTTACATAATAAAAATATTAATTTTTATATCAATTTTACCTTTGTGTTAATTAAAATTTTATAATCGGCAAATGTAAATACATGACTTCTTCTAATGTCGTCATCGTTTTATAGTCTTTTCGTTGTGTACTGATTTTCGGGACGTAACGCTTTACAATCCAGAGCAAGTGTCATTATTATATTTGGCGCGATTATTATGAAATTCTTACGAAATTAATTATCCGCATATAACTCTTCGTTCCGCCGAGCCGAGATCGGATCTCGTGAGACTCTTTTTTTTTTAGGGTCGGCGAATCGCACGGTATCTCGGACTAACGAGTAACTACCCTCGTTAACTCCCGGGCGAAAGGTACGCTTAATTAAAACTGATTACTCGATCCGACCTCCCGCAGGAACTTCACCTTCGTTTTTGGTCCTTTTTGCGTCGGTCGCCAGAATGTTGGCGCGTTACCGGATGACCTGAATGCTTCGTGCCACGATGGAAAGGTATCGCAACATATTCCCCGTAGTAAAATAATTATTGTACATGTATATGTGTGTATGCTTATACATGTACATTTTATACATCGAATACTGTTCTACTACACTGTTTAAAGAAATGACATGTAAAATTACAATTATTATAGTGGGTAATATTGGGACCATCTGTTAAAGGTGTATATTTGTATACGTCAGTAAATTTACGCCTTGTAGGTAAAATTATCACCTTATATAATAAGTAAACTGCTTGCTTTAAATTGTGTGAATTTTACAATTTTTTGTAATTTTTCATCATGCATAAACAAGTATTTACCCAACAAAGAGTAAAAAATTTTTTTGTACAAGTACATAAATTTATATACAGGGTGGGGTATAAATACCTGACGGTTTTTGGAATAATCTCAACACCGTGCTAGGTCAAAGATATGTTTTGTTCATGTTGAGGGATACGCGGTTGCACGGAGTTTCAGATGGCATGGTTCACTGACGATTTTAGTTTATTTTTTGTTTTCCAGAAGGATGTAACCCAGACGCCTTATTTCACGGTATGGCGACATGCAGTGGCCCGCCCGGTCGCCGGACCTAACAGCGCCAGACGATTTCTTGTGGGGATTTGTGAAAAGCAAGGTGTACGAAACACGTCCAGCAACCATCTTGGAGCTGGAACAGCGCATTCGCGTGGCCATAGAGGAGATCTCACAGAACATTTTACGGTGAGTAATGCATTCTCTTCCTAGCAGGATGGAACAGTGTGAAAAATCAGGGTAGACATCTCACGGACATTATTTTTCAAAAGTGAACCATGTCATCTGAAACTCCATGCAGTTGTGTATCTTTCAACATGACTAGAATGTATCTTCGATCAAGCACACAGCCTTCAAATTATTAAAAAATATATACAATATACATCCTGTAAAAAAGTATGTAAAATTACATACATAATACGTGTGCGATTACACTATTAAAAACGGAAATGCAGGGTGGGGCATAATTTAGTTTAAAGAATTTTTTCTTCTCAGAAATTGATTTGAAATTTAGTAACTGTTGTATGATCAACATTTAATGCTCTGGCAGGTTCTGAAGTAAATTGTGTTGGATGTTATCATCTGACAAGTTCACATGATTCCCGACTCCAAATGGTGAAAACCGCAAAGACAGATTGAGAAATCTAATTATTGCAGAGAGCAATCTAATTGCATCTAGGTAATCGTAGCGAGAGAAAATGGCGTAACACAAATAGCATCTTCCTGCATTAACGTGCGCCAATAAAATTATGCGAAACAAAAATAAAATTACGAGGTTAATTTGTTTCGAGCGTGTAGTACGAAGTCCGACTTCCGGATTTATTGTAATAATAGCGACTTAGAAAATGACGAAAACGTGCATCTAGGCACACGGTAGACTTGTTTGTCATCCGAATAGAGATTCTATTTTAATTAAAGATCCCCCCCGTCGTATTTTTCACCGGAAATAGCGCGCGGCTTGTCTTTTACTCGGAGGTGCACATCGATCCCGTCCTCGGTCCGCTGTCACGGGTACACAGCTCCCGCGGACGCGGCTCTACGCCTACGTAGGCAGCCGAAAATGGCCACCCTCTAATGGGCAGCAATTACCCAATAGCGAATTGCAAATTGGAATTAGCGTCCTAAATCGGCGTGTATACCTCTAACTGTGCCGCTGTACCCTCGCTCGGTCCGGCTTGCACCGCGCGCGCTCGTCGTCTCGAGGGGGATGGAGCAGGGGAAGACGGGGGGTGGACAGCGCAGGGGGAGGACGTGGTGGGAAGGCGAGCGAAGGGGTTGGTAACGACTTGGTCGGTGGTGCGTTCTCTCAGCTTTTGCTCCCCCGTGTCTGTGTTGCAGCCACGTCCGTGTGTATCCGCGCGCGCGTACGTACGCGTGCGTACGGAAGAGCGTAACGGTGTGTTTACCCTCCGTGTGTACGTGTGGGGGGTATCGCGCGCGCGTGTGTGCGTCGCCGGCAAGCCCCGCCCGCGGTCCCCGGAGCCCCTTTGCCGTGTCCCGCCCCCCGAATTATCTGCCCCTCAGATCCGAGCTAAACGAATCTAGGCGAGTAACGTCGCTATCCGCCGTCTCGCCACCCCCTCGCCACCCCCTCGCCGTCCGACAGCCACCCCCGACGTGCCGGGGACGATCGTAGATGGGAATGGAGCCGGACGGAGCGCGAGCGAAGGGAAGAGAGAAATGGAGGGAGGAGGTGGAGAGGAGAGGAGGCGGGGGAGAAGGAAAAGTTGGGCAAGTTTTATCAGGCTATTTTCCTTACCCGAAATGGCTGAATTTAATCCCGAACTCGGGCTCGCGAGCTCGCCACAAATCACGCCATAAACATCCGCGATGTTACTTCTTATTCTTGCCGAGTGCAGCCCTACCGGATACTCGTCCGATTCGCCATCTTCTTCCGCGTCTCCACGCGCAAGTTTGTTTCGAATTGAGACGTCGCGGGTGACGATGGATATCGTTTCAACACTTAAGGCCTTTGCACGTAAAAAAGCATTAACCGTAACCGTAATTTTAGTCCATAACCTACGGACCCTACGTAATTTTAGTCCGTAACCTTAGGAATTTTACTTGGGTTGCTCCATCTGTCTGTACGTGTTGAAAACTACGATTACGGACTAAAATTACGGTTACGGTTAACGCTTTTTTACGTGCAAAGGCCTTTAGCTAACGGTACGACCTTTTACAAATAAATCTCTAATTTCTAGAATCGATCTCGATGCCATTTAACTTTGATTAATTCGAAACCGATCGCGTCCCTTAGAGAATCTCCGATCGGTCGTTAATTTAATTCCGATTGCAACACTGTAGCTCTTATCACCGCGGTGCGTTACATGTTACATTAACGGATATGCTTTTTCTGTGCCGTCGAGAAACATTTTGTCTTCTTCTTCTTCTTCTTTGTCTTTGTCTTATTCTTGGCATCCGATTCTAACTCAGAGCCGACACGGCCACATTGAGCCAATAGTCGTTTGTGTATTACTTAGCTTCTAATAAGTGGCAACAACTGCGTCTGATCACACGTAAGTAGGTGATCAAAGTAAAAAAATTTCCCAACTAGTCCACGCCGCTATCACAAAATTGAAACATTTCGTCACTCGAGAGGAGCTGAAGGGCCACCGGTGGGCTACGTCGAAAGTTAAAATTCGTCTGTCCCGGTCGAGCCTCTGGCAAAGGGTCAAAGGCGTTTCGCGGGCGAAAGGAGCTCGACCGTGTGCGTCACGTATCCGGCAGCTATCCGACGTGCGTACGCACGTGCATACACGTACGCGAACGTGGCGCGCGCCCACGTACACGCATTCGCGTATACACGCAGCTACGCGAATAGTATTACCGACAAGACCGTATATAGACACGGGATGGCGCGTTTGAGCGAGCGCGCGGGATGTTACACATCGGGTAACCAAGATCTGTTTGCTTGCGGACGGCCAAACTAGCTGGCAGCTAATTCAGAAACGCCATTACCACCTATACGCTTATAGGCGGACCTGATGCCGCCGCCACCGGCTTCCGGTGTATATACCCGCGCGTATATACACTCCGAGCGTGCATGCGTGCTGCTGTGAACGCGAGCGCGCATCGGTTCGCTCTCTCCCGCTTCTATGCCGTCCGTGCTCTCTGTCGCGCGCGCGCGCGCGCGCGTCGAGCTTTAATTTCGAACTCCGTTCCGGAAACAACATCGACATCAGGTCGTAGTTGCGACCCCGAGGTCGAACGAGAGAAGTCAATCGCTAACGACGCTGATCCGTCCGACGCCGACTTGTCGCTTTCGGAGCGCTGTCCTACGTCGGCCGAGGGTTGTTGAAACCGCTACCATTACGACGAATCCGATTCCCGGCGCTACACGCACGCGGAGGAACGAGCCACGATTTAATTTGCCGCAATCTCGTTCCTGCGAATAAACGTGGACATGTTTTCCCCTTGAATATCGATGTTTTTTTTTTTTTCGTCAAAGTCTCTCCCGCAGGAAGAAGATGCTGCGATAATTATGCACTCGTTGAAAAGATATGGATATATAATAAATTTGAGGAGCTTTTTGCCGCCAGTGGTAATTAACCAAGGGGAATTTTGCAAATTTTTTGCCAGTTTGGTCGATTTTTAAAAAATTCCCCATGGTTAATTACCACTGGTGACAAAAAGCTACTCAAACTTGTTGATTATCCACCATAGACCCGAAAATATGGTGTCAATCCTTAAGGAAGGATATTTCACGGACATTGAAAACCGTTTTAGAATAGAAACGAGCAGTTCTGCCAGTTTGGTCGATTTTTAAAAAAATTCCCATATGGATATATGTTTGTCAGTAAATAATTTTTTTTTCACTTTATTAATGAACGAACATTTCCGTAATTATTTTATTGCCGCATATACAGGGTATATTAAAACCACTAGATATCCTTTTAATCACAGACTCTTTAGAAAATTTCAAGACGAAAATTCTAATACAAAAATGTCGAGGCTATAATAGTTTTTAAATAATAAGCGATTGTATTTCACAAATGACAGGCCTGAGATTTCGCGCGTTCAGACACGGTGACATGACAAGTGATAAAAGTGTTCCTATAAATGTCGCCCTTTTTATGAATTATGCTTGTCGCATAAATTTTAATAACATCGTCGTTACACGTTTTCCCGCTTCTTTACGCATAATGTCTTGTCTTTACGAATAATGGACGTGCGAACTTAAACCATCTTAAAAATAATTCCAGTAAAAATTTGCAACACGTTGTAACTTGAAAGTGTCGCAGCTGTCAAAGTGGTTGATCGATATCAGTTACCATGAAGGTTGTTACTATGCTAAAAAGTTCGCAACTTTTATCACTTGTCATGTCGCCGTACCTGAGCGCGCGAAATCTCAGGCCTATCATCTGTGAAATATAATCGCTTATTAAAAAATATTATACCCGAGTCGCAAGTTTCGCCCTATGTTCCTTTAATTCTATTATATAGCAGGACCTAAGACAGTAAAAGAGGTCGAACTGCAAGTACAAAATTTATACTCCTACTTTTAAAACTGATAGCGTCCAAAATTTCTACTTTTGCCAATTTAGCATTAAAGTAGGTCCTTTTAAGTAGGAGCAAAAGTAAATTTTGAGAATTAAAGATTCAAGGGAGGAGTAAAAAATTTAATGTCATCAAAGTAGGTTATTGCTGGTCTATGTAGGTGTATAGATCAGCTAAGTAGGTGTAAATTATTCTTAAAAGTGTCAAAATAGTACAAAAATTTCGACTCGGGTAGCTTCGACATTTTTGTATTACAATTTTTGTTTTGAAATTTTCTAAAGAATCTATGATTAAAAGGATATTCGGTGGTTTTGATACACCCTGTATATATAAATATAAGACATAGTAATTAATAAAGTTGTAAAACAAATGATCAACAAAGTGATTAATGAAAGTTGCGCTTCTTCTTCAAGCCACTTTTAATTTCTACGACGTTATAATTCACGGAACATAATCTTTTCTTTTTTCGCGATTCCCTTGCGTGCAAATTTGCAATATCAATTTTAGAATGATTAGATAGTACAGCAATACATAAATCGATGCATTAATCCCGGATTGCGCCCTTCCTTTCCCTTTATTTCTTATCGGACTTTCTTATCGCGTAATTTTAAATGAATACCCGATTAAATCTCCCTGGAAGTAGATAACGCGGCGATAACCCGCGCAATCAGCCGCGTAAACTCGGCTATCTG